AGAATTTTGTCATTTGTAAAATAAAATAAATTAGAAAGTTTTTATTCTTTTTCCTTACACACTTTGGGGCCCCCGTGGCAAGGGGGCCCCGTATAATTGATACGGCAATAACGGCGGTAGCTACGCCCCTGGCGTTAAGCACTATGTTTGATGTTACACTCTCTAAATTCTTGATTTAAATTAAATATATCTGCATTATTTATCAAAAAGTTTGGTTTTCTCCTACTTCCATTTCCTACAGTCAATGCTTTCTACGTCCTTTATTTGCACCGATCTTTCTGAAATAAAATCCTTAAAAAAAAACTACTAAACTTTTCAAGGTTTCTTTCGCTTGTTACTAAACGACGTGCTATTTTTTTATTGATTACTATTAAAATCAATATATACTGACCGCGCAATATATTGAGAAACTATTTAAAGTTTTTTTTTGTGATTTTATGATATCCCTAGGAAGGGCTAAGTTCGGGTGAAATCGAACACTTTATACTCTTGCAACTTGCAAGGATCAAAACAGAGAAAATACCGGTAGCACCAAAGGTGTTAGGAAAACTTAATATTAAAAAATGTTACGAAGCAATTCAACATTCATTTTTCGATGAAATTGTAAATGGATTAAATTCGAATTTGGCATTTTATTAAGTTATATTATAGGTCATAAACTCACTTAGTTTTATTACTATATTTTACTTCGCGTCAGTTAAATTATATAATATTAAAATCATCTTCAAATGAGATATGAGGGATACAAACTCAACTGAAAGAGCTAAATTTAATATGAGTTGATGTGAAAACGTCAACCAGAGGATCGCAATTCATTATTTTAGAGATATTAGGTTTGGACTAATGTCTAAACCAATTTCATCTATATTCCCAAACGATTATAAAAAAAAACTTGTTCATTTAATTTTATTAAGTTATCGCACATTTTGTAAGGTGGAAAGTCTGAAATCATTATACAGGCTATATTGAAGACACAGAAAAGGATATTGACCCGATTTAACAAATTTTTGACGCTCAGACTTGCTATCATCAGGAAAACATTCTCTCCGAATTTGAATTTGGTTCGATTTGGACAATTTTTGGTCATAAGGTGAAGGCGATATATTATAATATTTGGCGCTTTATATGTACGAGGGCTGCTATATATATTTCTGGCCTAATAATGAAAATACGAATATTTAGCAACGAAAATGGTCGATTGCTGTTTTGTTTCGGGCTCATAGGCATATATCCATGATTCGTCACCTGTGACGATCTTATAAACGTCTTTTGAAGCACCGCGATCGTATTTTTTCAGCATTTCTTTACACCAATCCACACGAGCCTATTTTTGAGCGATTGTCAAACTGTGCGGGATCCAACGAGAACAAACCTTTTTTACAGCCAGGTGTTCATGCAATATCGAATGTATGCTGGTGTGAGAAATGCAGAGGCGTGCCTCTATCTGAAGGTATGTTACATGACGGTCTTGCATTATCAGTTCACGTACGGCAGCGATGTTTTCTGGCACAACGGCTGTAGTGCTATAGGATTGTGCTTCATAGCCATACAAAGATTTTAGTTCATCGATGCACTCTTTTCGTGATAATCCACGTCGAAAGTTGTGAAAAATGATCGCACGAATATGTTCACGAGTTAATTCCATTTTTTGGCCGAGATAAATTTTTTAATTCCCTGTAAATAAAACAATTCACGATTAAATGACAAAACGTTCTGAGTGATGTTATGCTAAAAAATGTCAAACTTTCCAATGGAAATGTCAGTTTGCACCTGGCAACACTTAGTGTTGCCTAGGCCAACCAACTATATAGCAGCCCTCGTATACAGGAATATGAAAGAATTAGATGTAATAAAAGAATATTGCAAGAATGTTATGTAATGAATTTAGTTGAAATGGATGGCGCAGGTCCCGAGATATATGATTTCATCTAAAATTGGGTGGTGCCCCGCCCACCGTCCAATTTTGATACCGGCTCCTATAAAGCCCTCTTGTGTAAAATTGAATGTCTTTGAAGCATTTAGTCATTAATTTATCACACTTTTAGTAGTTTTTAACAAAACTGGTATACATATTGTATATCATATTGTTTTACTATTTACAAATCCATTTGGGTCAGGACTTTTGACTGCAGCATCTTAATTTGTCGCACATAGGGAATATGGAATGGCATGTTATTTCACGTAGATTAAACAATATACAAAAAAAATTACAGACTTCTTCAATTAACGTTTTAAAAATGTAAGCAAGAATGCATACAAACAATAATATGAACTGGTTTGTTCCTTAAGTTTTTTACTATTTTTTAATATATAACAATACTCTCCACATATATAAGTGCATTGTCTTGTGTCTGTTCATCATATTTTTTACGTTAATAGTTAAATATATTATTTAAATATTATTACTAAATACTAAATAAATTCTTAAAGTGCACATATGAACTTTTTTTAATTGATTAAGTTGTCTAATTAAGCGGAATTCCTGTCATTGAACGAATCGTTCAATTAAATCGGTATCGGTAGTAGTAAAATTACGTAATTTTTGAAGTGAAGTTATCCGGAGGTTACTGTATATGGAAACTTTAATTATGCGTAATTGGTGGGAACGGAATACAAATTTTTTAAATATTTGGATACCCTCTATGTCATTCTTCCACAAAAAGGGATTTCAGACTTCTATCGGATGATAGGAATAATCTGGTTATGATTAAGCTGGCTGTGTCACCAATAAGTAATATAAAAAGGTATAAGTCTTATAAGTTTTTCTTTCAGACTTTCGAAAAAAAAGTATGCTATCTCTCCAAGACATATATATTTTAATTAATACAAACATTTTTCCGATGTGAGTTTATATATTTCTTTCATTTACATAAACTAAACCGATTCGTTTATAGAACCCGGAAGCCTTGGCTGATTTTCGTAAGGCCACGAATAATCTCACTTAGACTGCTAGAGACGCTTGTCCGTTGTGATGAGAAGAACTCCTAAGTACGAATCAAAAATACCGTCTTATATCCAATAATCCAGCTAATTTGCCGGGTTCGTAGAAAGTATGGTAACCAAGATATTTCACAAGTTGTATGCTTTAACAAGTTTTGTCCCCCAAAATTTTTAGCCTCAGCGCGTGAGTGCCAATGGGATTATGTCCAGTTAGAACACCTATCATTGCGGCCATGTGAACCTTGTTAAGAGCAAGTAGTTCCATGGACCATTTGCGTTCCACTCTGGGAAAGAAGGCTTCTGTTATCGGAGTGGATGCATACCATCCTAAAATACCTTAATAACTGCCAGTTCTGCTTGAAAGGCACTACAGTGATCTGACAGTCAGACAACAAGAGTTGATTGATAGCTCCCGGCAGAAGACACCCCCTCCAACCTTTCGCTTGAGCTTCGATTCATCCGTGAAAAAGTTCACTGCGTCTATTCTCCTGCGACTTCACCTCTTCCACATATTCCTCGGAGATATACAATGCGCGGAGAAGATGCCGCTAGGAGTAGATTCAGCGGCGCTGTGGTTCAAGTGATCAAGATTTTGGAATGTCCCACTCTGAGGCCCTTAATGTACCCGGTTTCCCGAGTCTGATAGCAACCTTCGTAGCAATGCATTTGCCAGCCCAAGTTCACGGCTGCTATATGTGGAACTTAGTGAGTTCTTGCAATTTTCATAACATAACCGTTGTATGGGGAGTGGGCGGAAAAGTTTTCGAATAACAGCTTGGTAGAGGTCCGATTACGCCCATCTACATTACCGAATATGGTGCATTATGGAACATGTGTAGCTAGTTTCATCAATACATCTCTATTTTTAAGTTTTTAAGTTACAGCTTACATGGACAGACGGACTAACAGACAGTCAACCGGAATTCATATATAACTCCATATCTATCTCGATTAGTTTTAGGAGTTACAAACAATCGTTAGGTTAACAAAACTATGATACTCTGTAGCAACATTTTACGAAAGTATAAATTTATCCAAGCATAGAAAATAATCGAATCGAAATGTTAAAAAGGTATCTTCCTTACTGGGCACCGAAATTAGCAACTGGCGCTATCGTTGCCAACTTAGTGATTTAGGAACACAATTTTGTGTTTTTTGAAATATAAAACACCAAAATAAATGGTTTAGTGCTTGGTGACCTTTTTATAACGCTTTTATTAACTTCACCTGTATGCATGTATATTTGTAAATTTTTCCTGTGCGAACGATAACTTCAGTATAAATTGAGATATCTGGATCAGACTTGCTACATATATTTCTTGGCACCCAAGAGATGTCGGTGTTGTAGATGGGCCTCAGCCCATAAAACGCCATTAAATAAAAACCTATAAAGTGGCATAACTAAGAACTAAATTAAGTACCGAAATGTAGTTTGATACATGGGATCGCGATAACAGAGCCCACCAATTGGCTGAAATTTTTTTAATGTGGGCGTAGCCTCGCCTCTTAAATGGTTTAAAGTACATTTTTTAAAGTGGGCAAAGCCTCGCCTCTTAAATGGTTTAATGTACATATCCGGATTGGAATCCGCTGAATGAAATAATTATGAAAACTACTAAAAGAGGGATGAATAACTAAATAAATACGCCATAAGCATTAAATTTCACAAACAAGATGATAGGGAAGAGCTTAATAGGAGGAGGTGTAAAAATTTTAAAATGGGTATGGCATCACCAACCTTTAGGTGAAATCCTATATCTCAGGAACTATCAAACTAATTTAAACCCAATTTGGTATGTGAGGTTACCCAGTCAATCCTATCTCACACTGTAAAAATGAGCAAAATCATACAACGACTATAAAACTATACAGGTAAAAGCATGAACCATCCTGCTAAATATAAATATGGTTTAAAATACTAAAAAACTTCTTTTAAATAACATGAAGCTAAAAAGTTAAAAATAAATATAGCTTAAAAAAACTAAAAATACACACTTTCAACCCACTTCAAACTTAAAAGTGAAGGATTAATACCAAAGTACAAATATAAAGTCGTAGTACATTATTTAGTTATATACTTAATAGTATTTGGGACGCACGCGATGTAAGGCATTATTTAGGTAATTTGTTTACCACCTTGAGTTACATTATTAGCGTTTTATTTTTCACCGGAGATAGTGAAGCTTCCCAACGGTGAAATTATTTTTAAAATCCGTCAAATAGTTTGGGAGTCAATTCAATTCAAACAAACAATTTTTTCTCTTTATAGTATCTATGTATTCTCAGCAAGACGTAAGATTCCATTAAGATATTCGGGTATTCGGGGTGATCCATACGGTCATATTAAGTCTTTACTAATCTCAATGCAACAAAGGTCAGCTTCAGATCCTTATCCAGCTCATCAAGATCAATTCCTATAGAAAAGAAAAAGTAAAGGCAGTTTTAAAAATATGGAGTTTAAAAAAGTTACTAAGAGGAGGTATGGAGTTTAAAAGAATATCTAAGAGGTATCTAACTACTTTAAAAACAAAAATTAGACACCTCTCATGGTTTAGATGTAACTATTGCATATAATATTTATTAAATATAAAAAATTACATCAGCATTTACTATCGATGATATGATGAAAGTAAGGAACCGCACTGCAATATTTAAGTTTAAGTTTATCAGAATAAGTAAGACGACATATGAAGGATATGTTAAAATTGTTATTGCTTTAACTTTTGAAACGGAGTGCCTGTATAACGATGATGAGGTTTTAAAAGATTTTCGTGGAGGCAGCTGAATATTATGGCGCTGGTAAATCGCTTCACCGGCTACTGGTAAACCTTGTTCATATAGTATTCTTTCCGTGTGTCGTGAAGACCCGATTCCATCCACAATGAGAAATCCAACCGATGGAACTCATCAGTCTGCACCTGAGTTGTGGGGGCAACAATGGAAATCATATCTACAAAGCGATGATATCTACTATCTGATATAATCAGATTCTCAAGTACATTTAATAGATAACAGCAGCACAATAGCATTTAGATTCCTCATCTCATCTTCTAGCATACTGTTGACTTCCTTAGCCGGCTTCTCTTATTGGCGTTAATTCGAAATTTCAAATCATTCGGTTGCCGAAGAGCGTTATCAAAAATTACCCTAGTTGGAGTCTGCCCTATAGCTTCATGTACAGCAGACTGCTAAGCCATCAGATGCCATCATATATGGATATAGCAATTTTTTCGATATTTGGCTACCACTTTCTTCAAAATGCGAAGCTTCTTCTTGCAAAGCTTAATTCAATTCTTCTACCATGCCATCGGATTGCGCATATAAAGCAGTTGTACATGTTTTCTTAGTAACCAGTTTCTGATACATCCACTGTATTAAAGCTAACTCGAAATTCTTTTATTTCATTTCTTGATCAGAACTTAACTCTATTGATCAATACGCCTTGCAAATCTGGATCTTCCTGCAAAGACTCATCAATTTCATCTTAATTTTATCCTGCTCTTCCGACCGTGAGGACACCTGCGCTAATATACACGCTTACTGCTCTACTGATGAACATTAAGTCTCTTCCTCTAATTCCAATTGAAATACATTTTCCTCAACATTATTGTTTTCTGCTATCATGGCTTCTCGTAACCGCCATCTGTTTGTCAGTAGGGCTGGGAATAGATACCACACTTTCACGACGTAGGCAGCGGTTCGCACCTGTTGTAGTAGTGAGAAATCTAGCAAAGGTCAGGCTTCCTGTCTGGGTGTTCGTTACTCTTCAATAGTACAGCATCCAGATAAGAGGTCTTACTATGGTTAGAGGTGTATAAAGGGTATCATGCGACCCGTACGGAAATTAACCTGGCTTGGGGGCTTTAAATAGCCCAGCCTCGTCATGTACGGATGCCGGATGGTATCAGGGTCAAATAAAGATCATAGCGTGTGACGACGAGAGTTCGATTCAGCTATATAAGGCCGCAATAACTAAGGTGGGGGAGGTCTACCATGGAGCCAGACTTGTGGCAGTAGGCAAAAAAGATATCCCATGCCGACAGAGGGCAAAGGTATGGATCCCGACTACACTATCGCAGCCGGACCAGATAATGCAGCTCATCAGAGGCTGTAACCCGAATCTGCCAGCTGGGGGATGTATATTTGTCAAGGCCAAGCAGTACCATCGCAGCTCATAAAAAAGCTGGTACGAGACAGTGAAGCATCCAACTGCTCGATTATACTTGAGTGCGACTCCAACGCACACCACACATTTGCACGGACATCAACAAAAGGGGTGAGTTGCTGTTTAATCATTTACTAGGAAATGAGCTTTTGTTATGCAGGTACGCCAACATTTCTAACTAGAAACCGACAAGAAGTATTGGACATAACACTTGTGTCGGTAGAACTGTCAGAATGACACATTGGAGAGTACTGGATAAACACTCATTCTCAGATCACCGATATGTTGAGTGCATAATTGAAGAGAATGTAGATAGGGTAGAGATATTCAGTAATCATAGGAAAACGAACTAGCAGATGCAAGTTCAGGAGCTAAAAAAGCGTATTTCTATGATTCCGCCATTTCAAACATAAACATAAACATCCTCGTTAAACAGTTCACAGATTCTTGTCGACAAGTACTAGAGGTGACTTGTCCAATAACACGCAGTAGGGGAAGATTTAGGCCACCCTGGTGGTCTCTCATACTTAAGAACATGCAGAAAGATCGCAGGAAGCAATTCAATTTAGCCAAATTATACCAAAGAGAAGAAGAGTGGGATAACTATTATAACCTTTTAAAGTCTTATAAAAAGGAGGTAAGGAAGGCAAAAAAGATTCGTAGAAATTTTTCTGCAATGACATCGAGAATACGGCAGAAGCGGCTCAACTTAGAAAAATAATGAGACAGTCGAAACATAACATTGGATACCTTCAGAAGCTAGACCACGGCTGGACGGTATCCAGTGAAGAGATTCTAGGCCTGCTAATGGATACTCACTTCCCAGACAGTTCCGAGAACAACAAAATGAAGCATACACTGGAGAGTAAAGTGGTAGCAGAGTTCCTTCCTGTAGATATAGTGTCAGATAGTAATGTTTATTGGGCGATAGGCAGCTTCAAGCCTTATAAATCGCCGGGACCAGACGGAATATTCCCGGCTCAGTTACAGCAGTCCCAGATCTAAAAGGGCACTACAATTAAACTATATTCCCTCGGTATGGAGGAAAGTCTACGTGATATATATACCAAAGGCGGGCTCACACACTAATCTAAAGGATTTTATACCAATTCTTCTTTCCTTATTTCTCTTAAAAACGTTGGAGAAACTAATAGAAATACACATAAGATGCAAACTAAGCCCAGGAAAAATGGCAGTTTCGCAGCATGTGTATTCTAAGGGTAAATCCACAGAAACGGCGTTAAGCTCAGTCTCTGGAGATAAAAGAATACATCCTCGAAGCACTCTTAGACATAACAGGTGCTTTTAATAACATCCAGCCAAAGGCCATACTGAGTGCGCTTAAAGATTTGGGCTACTCTGAGCCTCTCCGGAAATTAATTGAACAGATGCTCTTGTGCAGGTCAATTATTTCAATGCTGGGTGCTTCAATGATGTCCAGATCTTTCTGAAGGAGTACACCCCAAGGAGTCGTGTTATCCACTTCTCTGGATCCTGGCAATTAAGAAAATGCTGGTGGATCTTGAAAAGAAGGGGGTACATGTTTTGATCTACGCTGACGATTTGTCAGTTTCAGTTAGCAGACAGTATTAAACGATATTAATCGATGGGCCGTATCATGTGGATTAAAAGTTAGTTAGCAAGACAGAAGTAGTATTGTTCACTAAGAAATACAGCACTCCAGAAGTCACGCCGCCATTATTAAGTGGTACCAGGCTAACGATAGGAGATAAAGCAAGCTACTTGGGTCTAATTTTGGACAGGAAGCTTTCTTGGAAACCAAACTTGGAAGCTAGGGTAAAGAAAGCCGCTACAGCACTTAACACTTGTAAAAGAATGGTGGGGCCCAGATGAGGACAGACGCCTCGGGTGAGTTACGGTATATTCATATGGTGGCCAATAACAGAAAAGAAATACGCGATTAGAAGTATGAAAAGCAGTGTAGCTCTCAGAACAACGCCAAGCCAGGCGCTAAATGTAATTTTACACTTACTGCCAACAGACCTGTTTTGCAAGCAAATGGCAGCGAAGTCAGCTCTGAGACTGAGGGAATCTTCCCTACTAGTCGCCAATAGTAAAGGGCAATATATGATACTTAAAAAGTTTCCGTTTCTTCCCATAACCACTGATTTTCGAAATACTATAGAGCTGAATCTAAATCCGGTCCCCAATATTGCCTTCCCCTCCATAGAGGAGTGTAGTGGACAAAGAAGCAGGGATAAGCTTCTATACGGATGGTTCCAAACTAGATAACCGAGTAGGCGGCGGTGTTTTCTCAGCTAAACTAGATACCAAAATCGCCTTTCGGCTTCCAGACCACTGCAGTGTCTCCCCAGCGGAGGTCACAGCAATTAAAGAAAGCCTTCTTGTACTGACAAGGAGTGTGATCACAACAAGAAATATATTTATATATACAGACTGACATCATTGATAAACCCGCAATGGGTCCCAGGACACAGTGATATCCCAGGGAACTGTGTAGCAGATAAACTAGCCAGAACAGGCACCACCCTACACTTAAATTCTGGTAAGGAGGACATATATATGCCTCTGGCTACTAGTAGATACATAATCGACAAACATATGATAAACATAGCTGAGTCTCAGTGGAATCAGTCCCTTGCTTAACAAGCAGGCCAACGTGGCATGAATGGAATTGTAATAGTACTAACAGGCCATTGTCTAATAGGCAGACATGCAAGTTGACTTGGTACGCAATATAACGACTATTGTAGAAGCTGTCAGGAAGTAAAAGAGGAGGAGACCATTTAACATCTTATATGCGATTGCACGGCTCTATATAGGAAAAGAATCGCAGCCATCGGCCGTGGGTTTCTTGATGAAGTCTCGGAGGTTGCAAGGATAAAGCTGTATTACTAATAACGTTCATCAGGAGTACGGGATGGTTCAGAGAGGAGCCAATAGAGTGAGGGGACCATAGTCCCGGTGGTATCACAATAGGCCTCTTGAATGCCTAGGTGTGACAAATCCCCGCCACTCTACCTCCTACCTACAAACGAATAATAAAAATAGTTAAAGCAATATCAAGTAAATAATTGAAAATTTCAGAAAATATTATAAAAAAAGGAGAACAATGTGAGGTGAGGCTGCCGAAGCCGATCTAGATTAGTGAATTGATTAAATGTAATCTAATCGCATAAAAAACCCGCATCTCTTATATAGTAGATCGTTAACAAAAACTACTACTAACTAAACTATTTAAAATAAAATAAATGATTAAAAACTATTTACTTTATTCTATTAATATTTTTGATAAAATTGGAAATATTTACTAATATTTTGATACAATAAATAATAATGTAGACCAAATTACGTAAATTTCATCTTCTGGAATTTTAATAATTGAAAAATATTTGAATATGTAATAAAAACATTCTTAAAGTTATACATTTTAAAATATAACACAGCAACAGATCATAACAGATTTGGTCCAATTGGACGATTTAGTAGTAGAAATTAGTAGTCAACCCGTATCAAGCGTCACATTTTGGCGTGTGTGTTAATGAAAAACTTAGGATTGGTTACTTGTGGATTTATACAATGGTGGTGAGTATTCATTTACATTACGCTCTCATAAGATAGGTCGTACCAGCTGATTCGGTCTACGGTTTTGCGTCGGTCATTAACTAATACTATGTTCGCACCGACACGAAATTCGTGTTTTCATCGACAAAAGAGGATTTCACGCGAAAACTTGTGTTTTCATCCACACAAAATCTATCAAACGAAAACACAGTTTTCGCTGAAAACCCTTTGAAAACTTACATTCCACTCATTATAATCGGTGCCATATTTCACCAGCCCTAAATGTCACTTGACCATTTGTTTACATTCTGTGAATTTGTTTACATACTGTGAAGTTGGTTACATTCAAATGGAGAAAAAAGTCTATAAAAAAAACGGAATTCGTGGAGTGTGAGGGGAGAAGCCCTATTAATAGAATTATGGGAAGAAAAAGTTGGTGCACTTCGAGGGCCAAAGAAAAATAGCCATATTTTGGAGGAAATGGCAGTGGAGCTGCAGCAGCAAGGTGTCGCCTTCACGGCGGCAGAAATAAAAACGAAGATGACAATCTGTCGCAAAGTTTTAGGTAAATAAAATTGAGTAAAAATAAATATTAAACAATATTGAGTAAATATTAACGCTTTATATATTATTATGTTTTATAGGAAGGAGAAAACAGCAGTCGGTTCAACTGGCGGTTCCCCCTCGCAGTGGCCTTTATTTAAAAAAATGAGCGCAATACTGTCGCCATATAAAAGCTACAACACAGAGGGCTTAGTGGAGGATAATAATTTTCAAAAGTTTAATAATAAAAAAATTAGAAAATATTGAAAAAGAAATTAAGAAAACAAATGAAGACTTTAATATAAGCAAAGACAAATTTTTAAAAATGACAGAAAATTTAGTAGAAAACGACAACAAAAAAACAAAATTAATTGAAGAATTTGTGAAGGATACGAAAGAAATAAATAAAACACTTCTTGATTTGCTAAAAAAATAAAAAGTAAATGAATGTGTTTTATTTTTGGAATATGGTTACTGCCGCCTTTAATGAGTTCAGCCTGATAAACTATTTTTACTTGCCAAAATTTGTACAAAGTGCTGCCCGTATAGTTTCTCCGTTAGTCTGTAAAAAATTATTAGACCAATGGCGTAAATATATGATTTTATAACTAATATTTACCAATTGCTCCTAAGCATTATGGGAATCCAAGTACCTCGAAACCAGTCACCAATTCTGTAATGCTTTCTCTATTTAGTGGCAGCATTTTGAAGCAGGATGGTTGCTGTAATCTCCAGATTTCGGTGCAAAATTTCGCAAACCGTAGATTTACCTACTCGGAACATATTAGCGATACTCCGATACTCCGCAGATGAGTCTAAAGCAAATATTGCTATAGCCACTCTTTTCTCGAGCGGAATAGCTTTTCTGTAGCTCGTATCAATTTTTTGTAGACGCCGGAGGATTTCGCATAACTTTTAACTGAACTACGGTTCATGCGAAAGTTTTCTTTTAAAAAACGGATCCATTCGTTGGCAATCGTGTTCCCAAAATTTATTTTTGCGTCGCTGGAATTACTGATATTTAATTGAAGTTTTGCTTCAGTAGAAACCTATACAAACCTTTTTCCAACATGATTTAATCGGCATCCCAAAGTCCTTTATTATACATAACAGAATTAAACGTTTTTTGTTCAAGTCTGCAATTTTTTTTTTAAGGCGAATGTGCTGGGTACTAAGAACTTCTATCCATTCTCTTAAAGAATCGTCGTTGCTCAAGAAATTTATTTGGCTCAAAGCCAATAATTTCGTAATTAAAATTTTCTTCTCGGAATTCTATAAAACAAACAATAATAATTGTAAGCAAATATTTAAAATTCTAAAACTTACCATTCTCCAATGCATAAGCCTACAAGTAGCCAAAGAATCAGCAGTTTTCCTATCTGTGTGAAACAGCCGTGATCACCTGATCGAATATGCCTTTTTTTGACACAGAGTTTTAAATAAAAGGTTGTAGTGTAACAATTTGCACTTAAAATGGAAATATCTGGAAAACTATACGTTTCCGGCGCCAATAGTTATATATATTCGTGATCTGGAGAATCTCCTCTATCCAACCATACACCTCTTAACTCTGAAATCGTGGGGTGCTAAACTAAAGTTTTCCCATTGCTATTCCTCACCACCTCTGAGGTTGCAATATAGGCGCGTTACATACCTTTTTTGGGTGTTTCTTTCCCCAGGACTAAACCGGTAAACTAAGAATTTAAATATTCAACAGACAAAGAATTTTTACTCACAAAAACATAAACATGTAAGTTAAAAAAGATAAAATTGGAAACATTTAATAATATTTCAATACAATAAATAATAATTTAAATAATACTATGTAAATTTAATCTTTAGGAATTAAAACAACCGAAAAATATTTGAATATGGAATAAAAACATTCTTAAAGTTATTAATTTTAAAACATAACACGGCAACACACTAGAGCAGATTTCTCTCATTTGACCGTTTTAGTAGCAGAATATTGGTTGGCAACCCGTACAAAGTGTGCTTTTAGTAGCAGAATATTGGTTGGCAACCCGTACCAAGTGTGATTTTAGTAGTAGAATTTTCGAGGCAACCCGTACCAAGTGGGATATTTTTGCGTGTGTATTAGTGAAAATCTTAGGATTGGCTACTTGTAGATTTATATCTCGTTGGCTTAAACCATTGTATTGAAATATTATTAAATGTTTCCAATTTTATCTTTTTTAACTTACATGTTTATGTTTTTGTGAGTAAAAATTCTTTGTCTGTTGAATATTTAAATTCTTAGTTTACCGGTTTAGTCCTGGGGAAAGAAACACCCAAAAAAGGTATGTAACGCGCCTATATTGCAACCTCAGAGGTGGTGAGGAATAGCAATGGGAAAACTTTAGTTTAGCACCCCACGATTTCAGGGTTAAGAGGGGTATGGTTGGATAGAGGAGATTCTCCAGATCACGAATATATATAACTATTGGCGCCGGAAACGTATAGTTTTCCAGATATTTCCATTTTAAGTGGAAATTGTTACACTACAACCTTTTATTTAAAACTCTGTGTCAAAAAAAGGCATATTCGATCAGGTGATCACGGCTGTTTCACACAGATAGGAAAACAGCTGATTCTTTGGCTACTTGTAGGCTTATACATTGGCTTAAACGTACGTAACTAATGTAAGCAACTAAATGTGTGAACAATGAAAACTCATCGAACACACTAAATGTCGGTGCGAACTACTTCGGTTCCACAATCCACAAATTGTGTTTTAAAGAGGTTTTCAATTTGGTGCGAACATAGTATAAAGTAGTAGTATAATGGTATGAAACGATTGAAACGAAAAATCATCACGTAAACACTAATCGTTTCTGGGATATATTCAAAAAGTCGCCGATATCCAGTTGTCTAAAATATCGTTGATTTTAAACTATCGATGTATTATTTACTCACATACAATTGGGTGGAGTTATCAAAACATTGTTCATAGTGTAAGATTTATTTACGGGATTTTGCGAATACTAATATTTTTCGTTTTTTGAATCAAGTGGACAACGTATTTTTAATATTTACTTCAGGGTCGCAGAGTTTTACATGTCATTTGAATATAAGAAAATTACAATTTGTTATTAAGCTTAATATTTTAATTAAGGACGATAATATATGTATTAATGCCGCCTCAAAGGTATACACACGCTATAGTGGCAAGGTAATTAAAACTAAGTATACATATATGCATGCGTAATAAAGTTACTTTAGTACTTTTCATTTAACATTCAGATAAACATACATACTCTCTTCAGTCTATATACATATATGTACCTTATTAGCATATTTTATGGTAAATGTATAGTTTAGTTTTTACAAATACATCAGTGCATCTGGTTCCGTTCCCACGACAGTCGGGTCTACGTAACCGGAATAGACCCTGATTTATTTCGGCCAAGGACTCTCAACTAATGTATGGTTTAGGTCCCTCAAATCAGGAGGCCTCAAAAATTATTATTATTTTTTTTTTAAATCGTCTTATGGGTCGGCTTTAGAATAACGTCCCACGCTTTCGGGGATAAAACGGGTATGGGCGGATAGAGGAGATCCTCCAGATCAAGAATATATATAGATATAGCCGCGGGAAACTTATAGTTTTCGAGATATTTACGTTTAAAGTTGAAAATTTCAACTATTTAAAGTACGTATTTTTGCGAGTTAAAATGAATTATACACTTATATTTTTCACTTTTATATCCACTAACACTTGACTAATTCGTTTTTAGAAATTTTTTTTATATTAGATGCTGCAAAAATAGCTTTATTTCAATATTTAAATCATTCTTTAATTTTATTAATTTTGACAATAACAAAATGGTTGTGAATGTCAAAACATCAGTGTTGCCATACTAATATATTTTGCTAACGAAGAAAAATAAAATTAACAGAGAGATTGTATCCTAGATACAGGAAACAACGCAAAAAGAATTTCTGCGCGTAAAAACTTTGGTACACTCCGATGTTTGAAGCGCGGCCGAAGGCCGCCAACGCAAAAATAAGTTCTGCGCAAAAAAACCTTGATACACCCCGGTGTTGGATCGACCAGGGTTATTTTTTTGAAGCGCGGCCGAAGGCCGCCAACGCAAAAAGGAGTTCTGCGCAAAAAAACCTTGATACACCCCGGTGTTGGACCGACCAGGGTTATTTTTTTGAAGCGCGGCCGAAGGCCGCCAACGCAAAAAGGAGTTCTGCGCAAAAAAAACCTTGATACACCCCGGTCTTGGACCGACCAGGGTTATTTT